GACACTCTTCCCCTTCATTTTGCAGAGATCATGTTTAGGCCATCTTCGCCTGTTGCAACACTTTGATCTCAAATTTGAACTCTAGGGCCACCAACTCTCTTGGAGAATCCTATATCAACTCCCAGGACCTTATTATGGAACCTAGACATTGCCGTGAAGGAGAACCCTAGATCTCTGATTATGGTCTACCACTCTAACCGCCTTCACCTTTCTCGTGATTAGTCAAGGCCTTTCTACCTTATGTCATGGGCCGTGAAGGAGAAAGCTTTAAGGCTTGGGTATTTATAGAGGAGGCTTGAAGTTCTAAGGACTGGGTATTTAGTATTAGGGTTTGACTTATGTCCTCTATTTATTAACTCTTCTTTTAGAAGTCTAGGGGATGAGAAGATTAGAAAACTTATTTGATCTTGGGGTTTAACTAAGTATTTAATAACTCTTTATGAGGCACACCTACGCCAACAAGGCGCCTAAGCCAAGGCGCAGTGCCTTATTGAGCCTCTTGAATACACCGAGCCTCGACTTGAAAAAAAACCAAGACCTTGACCTTATGAGCCTGAGAGCCTAGACGTGCTTTTAACAACTATGGTGCATGTACAAACAAATTCTTTACTTACTTTTTTTCGCCTTGCCATCTCTGTTAAAGGGTTTCATATTCTTTACTGGGACCTTGCTGGCTTTGCCATGATATGTTGTGGCCTTCACYACCAGCGATGTAGCACTATGAATGGCTCTTGTTCGTGCATGTAAAAACGGATTCTTTTAGTGGCTGTGTATTGTGTTTAAACCCTGATTTTATGTCAATGTTTTAGTTTTGGCTTCTACAGTATGAATCAAGGTCTTAATTGTTGCTTTCTAGCTTGTCATGGCCTTGCTTTGACATTCTACCATGACCCTCTCTCATGGCATCCTATGCTGACCCTCCTTTCATTGCATACCTTCGCCTTAATAGTAGCTGTCTTGTGCTTCTTAAGAGATAAACTTGGTAATTGTGTGTGTATATATCGATTACAATTAGGGATATATATAAGAGATACATTTACACTCTAGACCCTCTAATATAAATATATATATATATAACACTTAATTGTCTAATATTCCCCCGCAAGCTAAGGTCGGGGAGCGACCTGTAGCTTGGACCGTAATAGGAGAAACCGTTGTGAAGGTAGCGGCTTGGTAAACACGTCTGCAATCTGATCATCTGTAGATATAAACTGAACTGAAAGCTTCCGTTGCACAACCATTTCTCGAACAAAGTGAAAGTCAACTTCTACATGCTTGGTACGGGCATGAAAGACAGGATTAGCTGAAAGATACGTAGCACCAAGATTTTCACACCATAAGGTAGGAACCGACTTCACAGGAACCCGAAGTTCACGCAGTAGTGTTTGAAGCCATGTGAGCTCAGCAACAGTTTCAGCTAGAGCCTTGTATTCTGACTCTGTTGATGACCGAGAGACAGTCCTTTATTTTTGTGCAGACCATGATACTAGGTTTGAACCAAGATAGATAGCATATCCCCCAGTCGATCAACGGTCATTAGGGCAACCAGCCCAGTCAGCATCGGAGAAGCTAGTCAGGGAGTTGTAAGTAGAATCAGTGTAGGCATGAAGGATTGTGCCTGAAGCATGCATGATTTGTAAACCATAGTCAGCAGTGCCTTGCAAGTAACGAATAATTCGTTTGACTACTGCCCAATGATTTTCAGTAGGGGACTGCATAAATTGGCAGACTTTGTTGACCGCGAAAGTAATATCCGGACGAGACAATGTCACATACTGAAGGGCACCCACAATTTGGCGGTATTTGACCGGATCAGCAAACGTAACGCTATCACCAAGAGAAAGATTAGCATTAGTGGTCATAGGAGATATTTAAATAACATCGACTTCAAAAGTTGTGGATGTGGATGTCCAAGTCTTTGGTGCCATGTGGTGGAAGAGGCACGTGTGGTAGAAAACAACATTTTCTGAACAGGCTGAGGCTGAGGAGGACGGAAGGAGTAGAGACCACCATTACTTGGACCAGTGAGGAGGATAGTGTGTGTGAACTTGTCCTTCACAACAAAGAAAATAGAGTGAAATTCAAAGTACACATGGTTATCAAAACAAAATTTTTGAACAGAAAGTAAGTTCTGTTTTATGTCAGGTACGTGTAGTATGTCTTTAAGGGAAAAGGTTTTGTTTGGTGAATGAAGTTGTGAGGAACCAATGTTTAGAATGGGTAAACCCTTACCATTGCCAACGTGAAGGTTGTCCTCACCGTAGTAGGCCTCAGAGTTATCGAAGCTAGATAGGTCTGGTGCAACATGATGGCTAGAGCCTGTATCCAGAAGCCAAGCTTGTGACCGGTAATATGTAAAGTTGGCAGAAGGTGATTGTCTCGTCCTCATAGGAGCAGGGTCACGATTGGGGCAATGAGACGGGATATGACCAATCCCACACCTGTTTTTTTTTTTTTTTTAAGGAAACTAGGCAAATATATAAACCAATCCCACACCTGTTGCATGTGCCAAAAACAGTGTTTTGATTAGAAGCCCAACTAAATTGATTACGGTTACCTCGTCCTTGACTTCTGTTGTTGTAGTTTCCTCGTCCGCGTCTAGAATCATGTCCACGGCCACGATTATTCCGATATATGTTGGTGTAAAAGGCATGTGCAGGCTGTGCATTAACAGGCTGAACTTGAAGACCAAGTTGTGACAGAAGCTGTTGAATAGCTTGAAGTTGATCTGGTTGAGGAGTAGACGAGGTGGCACCAGGAACCGCTGAGTTGCGGTTGTTCGTGACAGTCGAGAATGCTTGAGGTGGAGAGATGTCAGTTGCAGATTTCTTGATCATGTAGTCATGGTCTGATAGCAGGCCATGAAGTTCTGCAAAGGCAGTTGGGAATTGGCGACCAAGGAGTGTTGTCTTCAGCCCGTTGTATTCTTCTCTAAGACCCGAGATAACCAGCATCACCAAATCTTTTTCTTTCATTGGTTCGCCTATATTGGCGAGAGCATCAGCATATTCTTGAGCCCTAGTCAGGTATGCGGAGGAGGTTTCAGCAGGCTTCATCTCTAGTTTAAGAAGCTGAGTTTTTAGGGTGTATTCCCTAGATGATGTGTGAGGAGCGTAAGTACATTCAAGAGACAACCACAGATCACGGGAGGTAAGTCCTTGAACGTGTTGGAATGATGCCTCAAAGATTGTAGAAATAATCAGCATCCGTACATGTGCATCATTGGAAACCCATGCTGTGTAGTTAGGATTCGGTTGTGGTGGGGGCACTGTGGTGCTGCCGACATCTTTTCCAGATGATGATGATGATGAGATAGTCATCGGTGGACAAGGAATGGTGCCATCAACATAGCCGAATAGGTTGTTTGTGACAAGGAATGGTTGAACCATTGTCTTCCAATAGCCATAGTTGTTTGGTGATAAAGTGAAGCCAAACTTGTGGGAGTTATGGGTGGTTTTCTCAGTTGGAGTGAAAGCTGCAACAATTGTCATTGGACAGAAGGTGAGGCAGCTGTTGGGTAGAAGACGGGTGCGGTAGCTTTAGGGTTGCCTTGTGATGGCAGTGGTAGGGCGGCAACGGTAGGGCGGCAGCCGTAGGGCGGTAGCCGTAGGGCAGCAGCTGTAGGCGTTTAGGGCCGGCTGCGATAGGGCGGCAACGGTAGGGCAGCAGCCATAGGGCAGCAGCTGTAGGGCGTTTAGGGCCGGCTCTGATACCAAGATAAACTTGGTAATTGTGTGTGTATATATCGATTACAATCAGGGATATATATATATATATATAAGAGATACATTTACACTCTAGACCCTCTAATATAATTATATATAAACCACACTTAATTGTCTAATATTAAGGATGCTATGCTAGAAAGATATTTAATGACAATCCCCTAATGCCACCAAAAACCAACCAACCCAAACCAGTGAATCCCACACAAAGTAGTGTTTGGTGAGGGTAGAATCTACGCAGACCTTACCTCGACCCCTAGGAGTAGAGAGGCTATTCTTGTGAAGCCCCTTGACTTGTAAAATGGTTTTTAAAAAGGACTTCGCAAAGAAATATTGATCCCAAAAGGTTTACAAAAGGTTGAAAGAAAAGATAGAGTAAAATTAGCTGATGAAAAGAGGTAAAGGAAGAGTTGTAGAAAAAGTCAAGAAAAATAATAACGCAAACAAGGACCTTGAAGGCATAAGAAAGGGATGAAATCACTA